GAGGTACATTGAGTTACTCGCGAGCTACTCGCTGCAAAAAAAAACAATTCAAAGTAAAGCTGTCTCACCCCTTGGACACAGCACATTGGTGATTGTAGAGCGGCCGACAGTAAACCCACGTTGATCAGCACTCAAATACTGCTTGCAATGGGATGGAAACGGTTTCATTATCACTAGCTAGAATAGCTTCGAAACGGCGCTTAACGATGTAATTCCTCGATAGTTATCCACAGCTCGTTTCCTTCCTTTTTTGTGGACGACATGTGCGCAAATTTCCAGCAAAATGTAAATATGCCACTGGAGAGAGACATTCGGAACAGGCGATAAAGCGGAATTAACAAGCTAGCAACATGTCTCTTCAAAAATACAGATGGAACTCCATCAGGTCCATGATTGAAGGATGACTTGAGCAGAGTCGCGGCCTTAGAAATCATCTCAGCATTAACATCAATTGCACCCAGCGTTCGATCATTTACTGGAACGTTCCTGGCGGCCAGGTTAATATGCTCGTCAGTTAGTATCTCATTAGTGAATACACTGGCAAACTTGCCGGAAAAAAGGCGGCATATATCCTGAACGGTGGCAGCAACTTCTCCGTTGAATTCCATAGACGATGGGAGGCCGGATTCCCTGCGTTGCTCGTTCACGTAGTTCTAAAAGGTTTGCGCTGGATGCCTCGTTGGAAACTTGAAAAGCATTCACGACTGGCTCGCTGGTACATGTGATTCAGCCTCACATAATGTAGTTTCAGAGGAAGCGTGCGATACTTCGTAAATCTTCTCAATGCTGCTCTTTTGATTGACTTCCACCTACGTAGCTCTCTGGTCTGCCAGGGAGGGTGAGACACTTTGTGGTGAGTTCTTTTCCGGACGTGTCTGTCAATGACATATGAAAAGGTTTGCGCTACAGCCTCAACGTCCTCTGGATCAAGGATGTTCTCCCATACCATGCTAGACAATACATCTATGATGCCACCACAAACAAACAGACGTAACACTTCATTGTGTATCTTCGTTCACGCATTTAACGGTTGATTTGAATATTATCAGTTCCGCGAACTACTCGCCGCAGTGCTGGCATCGGATCACTTTGACGTTTCTATACATTCTATAGAACTTTTATGCAATATTGTTTGAGAGTTAGCGAGCAAGTTTGTTTTCCGCGAGAAGCCGAGAGATGTCGCTACTGAGGTCCTATGTTTTGAAATGCTACGGTGGTCAGCGATAACCGTCGAAATCACGCGCGAGTTTGTCCTCAAAAGTGACAATTAGAAGAGGGTGATGTGGAACGAGCTTAGTTAGTGCACAAGGAGCCGAGGAAATTAAGGGAGCCCTGTCCAAACTACGATCATTTTCGTTGACTACATGATTAAATTGAGAAAGCGTTGCTGCGCTGCAGTTGTTGAGAAGGCTAATAGCTCCTGTGTGAAATGTAGAGCTATCAGAATCTGGATACAGGAATCCGCTATGTGTTGGACTCCACGAAACGCCTGGCAGATTGAAGTCACTAAAAATGAATATCTCATCAACTGGAGTGGCACTTTCGATAACTGTGAAAACTGACCGACAATGAGTATCGATGACCGATGAGTTCATTGCCCCGGACTCGATCAGGTGGAATGTACAGAGCGCATAGAAATAATGTGCAATCACTCAGATTGATGGCTGTCCAAACCTGCTCCACATAGTTCCATGAATCGTACTCGATGGCCTTTGCTTCCAACCCGCCACGGACAGCTACAAGGACACCTCCACCAGTAGATTTACGGCTGTTGTTAGGATTCGTAGTCAGGACCGAAGGCTTCACTGGAAAGCGTTCGATAATCGAGCCACGTTTCGCACAGGACAATTACATCGTAGCAACAATCCGATACAGCTAGGCGGTACTCTTCAACATCAGAATTCTGCTTGCGGCAAGGAATCGAACGACTGCTCTCCCTGGAAATCACAGATACATCAGGCAATAAGTGACCATCATCAAGTCTGATTGCATACTCGCCATAGTGAGTGGGTTGGAAGACCCCCTCTCCACATCCGACAGCAGGTCCGGAACGACTATGATGAACGAAGGCTGCTGATGGCAGGACTGGGGCTTTCTAGGGCGCGTTCCGGGTTCCCAGGATTGGGAGTTACAGAGGAATCATAACAGTGACTAACATAGTCCGAATTGCTGAAAATTTGATCGGCATCATGCAGTGTATAGTCAATATATTGATTGTACTTGTCTGTAGAGGCAAGGTGGAAGATTCCTGATTCATATTCAGCCACAGGTCCAGGTGGTGGGAAACAGCTAGCGCGACTGGATCGAGTGGTTCGAGGCCTCCCGTAATGCGACAGACAGTGCGTTCTGGTTTACAGCGTTCCAATTCACAACGCGGCATCCAATTCTGAATCAGCATACTGGGTCTAGTCTGGAGATGGGAATTGAGAACTCGGAAGGTCCTGGTGATAGCAGGCGTTTTCAAATGAGGCATTAACATGTTTTTTGAACCGTCTTCAAATTCACGGAACAAAATTCCTTTCGGCCATGTATCCGATGTAAGAGCAACTACTTCACGTAGTTTAGGAGCCAATGTGATTTTGTACGATATGAAACTCATACGACTGATGTCGGATCCTTTTTTAACTAGCGGCAAAACCTTAATCGGATCATGCACTGTACTAAACCTTTGACCAGCTTCTCGATTGATTCCGATTTCACGCTAGGATGGTGGGTTCAGGGACAGTAAGGACCTCGATTAAGACATTGTCATCCGTTACTGCTTTAGTACCATCAAAAAGTGGTTTGCTGGTGAGCGAGCTTTCATCGAGTGCCGTTTCGCGCACTCGTTGCACATCCAAAGCAAGTTTGGGCTAGTATGGACAATATTCAGAAAAGCCTTGTTCAACTTTGTCCCGCCGCATTTCAGATGAATCATCCTGTCACAAAAAGCCATGCAGGAGACGGACTATTCATCGCCTTTAACTGGTTTAGCGTATTGGTCACAGGCGGAAGTCATGCTGACTCAGCTGACTCAGTGGAGATGCTCTAATACGCACGGAGGAGTTGGATTCTGCAGAGCGTCTGATAACGACAACAAGCTATTTTACATGACGTCTTGATGACAGTTCCTGGCGGCCCACTCGAACGCACTCGAGGCATTGTTATTGTTTACGTCTGATGTTTTTGTTTTGATTTTGGTCGTGGTATGTCAACAAATCGGCCCGCTGGTAAACGTCAAAATAGGTAAACAGAAAAAAAGCTGACTCGAAACGTCTCGTAAAATGCCTTACACGCTTATTCTGGTCAACTCGAAGTCGAATGTACTCATCTCAGCGGCAAGTAGGGCTACTCAAAATTGAGTAGCCTTATGTTGACTCACTTTTGAGTAAACTACGTTCTCACGTAGACTGAGCGATATTTTCAGTTGCGGTGAGTGTTTTTGTTTTGATTTTTATTTAAGGAAATGGTAATTTCCTTCCCCGGATTCGTTCTACCGGAGCAGGAAATGCTTCAACACCGTTTCCCTAAGCAATACCTTATTACCTGAAGACATTTCAGCCGGTTTTCAGTAACTTTTCCTAGGAAGTTTCCTCCAACATGGTTGACATTTTTTCTAAGTCCAGGATTTTGCTGACTGAGTGGCTTTTACTCAGTTTGGCATTTCTCGTTTACTCAGTTTTTGACAACTCGATACATCGGACGAAAGTGAGTACGATCGACTCACCCGGTGAGTAAGCTGAAGTTAGCGTGTATAACACAACAGTAAACATTACAGGATGTCCGATTAGATAACTTTTTCACTGTTTTCACAACACGGAATATGCTCCAAATAGACGATTATCGCAATGAACTGCACTTTCCACTAACGACCGGTAAAATTTTGCAAGTCTACAGAACGGGAAAAACGAAGAACGATAGTCCGTGTGATAAAAAATCATCAAATTTACCAGCGCAAAATCACGACGATGTGAATAACAACAACGATTGTCGACATTCCGACAGTTTAGAGCAAGTAGTGGTATGCGTACACCCCCCGAGCATCTAGACAGAAAACCTTAGTTTCACGTACCCACTTGCAAATTGTAGATGTCTCCACCGTACGTAAACAATGGGGTCAGCCATCGTTGGTGGCACAACTTTTTTCACATCAGAAAACATGTTTTTGTTTCACTTCATGTGGACGTCGAAAGCAAACCAACAATAAATTTTGAGTGAGACGTATTACTGGTGTTGTATTGTATCTTGGAATTCAATCGATTTAATTATATCAAAATTCATCATCATCGCTTGGGCAGTAACCCGATTAAAGGGTTTCGTTTATTTCGGTTATGTGGTTGCCGACAAACATCACTTAGTTCCCGGATTTTAGGGTGTTGTTCCGTCCATATATCCGGAACCAGTTAATCGATTGAAAGTCTATTAATTAACATTCTATAGAATCATGGTAGCTTTCATTTGGTTGTTGTTGCGTTCAATTCGGTAGAGTGGTTGCCGAGAAATACATATAAGAAAATTGTCTTACGTGCTCTCTCACACACATAAATAGACAGACATTTTCCGATCCCGTCATGCTGAGTCGATTGGAAGACTATTAAAAAAAAATATCAATGTTTTTATAAAAAGTTAAAAAAAAACACAAAACTTAAAAACGGGGAAAAATAAAGTTGATAAAAAATAAGACCAATTGTAAATTTACTCCACCATTATTCGATTTGACAGAACCAGAGTACCAGAATTTTCGGGGTACATTAGCATTACACTGGAGCTGTTCAGTTGCTCCCGGGTGTATGCGTATAACTGCCAATGCAGTCGGTCTACATTTGTTGCGACTGACCTAACTCCGATCCTGACATTTACTCTGTGTTCAACATTTCAAAGGGGCGTAATTGCATTTGTAAACAATGGCTTTAGCCGTTGATTTCTCGCGAATAAAAGCTCACTCATGAAAAATAATGACACCACCAGGTAGAGGAATGTTTCCTCTACCAGCTAGTATTGTAATTTTGGAGAGGTAAGATTTCATTAGCGAAAAATTGACGGCTAAAGTCATTGTTTACAAAAGCAATTACGCCCCTTTGAAATGTTGGCACTGAATTGTGCGATATCGCTGAAACCTGCTGAAACTACGGACACTGTCATCGCCCTTGGTGACTATAACGTGTGGGAATTTGATGCCGAAATGAACCCTTACATCCCAATCAACGCTTCCTCGGAACAAGAAATCGCGTTGACGCAGTCCGTCCTTGCGTGTGGATTCCAGCAGATACAGGATGTACGTAATGTGAATGAGAGATTACTTGATGTGGCTTTCGTTAGTGATGCTAGCAGGATCGAAGTTCTCGAATCGCCCTGTGGAATTTTAAGACTTGACGCTCATCACAAATCTTTTATTATCAAATTTGACTACCTCCCTAATGCTGACGTCATTGGACAAGACCGATGTTACCCCACTTATCACTTTTAGCCAAAATCAGTTTTCCTGAAAAGCAATTACTTTTTCCTACAACTTTATTTCAGACGTCACTTCGATTGGAAGGGACGTTTTCGAGTTATGATTTGTTAAAAAATATCGAATGCTCCATTTTGAAATTTTTTGCGAGATTCCAACGACCGAATTTTAGCTTAAACATAAATCATTGCCTATACCAAACAATTATGCCAAGTTCATACAAATCAGAGAAGGTCAAATCTGAATTTCAATTTGTTTTGCTATTTGACCTGAAAATGCTCTTATGCCAAACGACTGCATACCAAACGGGGTAGACTCCAATGGTAATGTATACTCTTAATAGATGGTTTCATTTAGTACCATTTTTATCTAATCGCGAAATACGACAGCACTCGATTCGAGTCGGTAAGTAGCAGCGTAAAACAGGAATGGAAAATCACTTACCGGTCTTCACCTCTTAAACAGCAAGCTGCACTACTGCAGTTGTGCGGAAAAGTTTATAGGAACACTCACATTGATGGACCGCCAACAGGACCGTAGTACCCGTTGATGTTGATCACGTAGATGAATTCGTAAATCTCCTTATGATAGCCATGATCGTACATCTTGTTGCCCAGGTAGATCGTGTACTTGATCAACTTCTCGAAGTCGCTTTCGTCTTCCAGGATCTGGGCGTACTTTGGGTGCACGTACGGCGAGCTGGGATTAGTTTTATCCTGCGGTTTCCACGGTTTCGACTTCAGATGCTTGTAGAACCGCAGCACAACCTTGAAGATCTCCTCCACGTTGTTGTAGAACTCGACGCTCTTCTTGTTCAGCAAGCACAGAAACAGAATCCTCTTGATGTAGCTGGTATGCTTGCGGTAGAGATCCTCCATCGATTCTGCGGACTCCAGGTCCTTGCGAAAGGTCTCCCAGGAGGCCAACAGGGCACTGCTGGTGATGTAATTCTTCAGTGCATTCACCAAGTGCGACAGTTTGTGCGAGATCAGTTGAACACGGCTGTACTGTGGCGAGTGAAGGATCAGCTTCCCATGCTGTTTGTGCGCTTCCTTGAGAAGTTGGAACGATTTTCCCAGAACGAAACTAACCCGACGCACCTTTACCAGATACTTGAAGATGTTCGTGTACTGTTCTATGGTTTCCGGGTTCAAGATCAAATTCAGAGGCCACTCCACGCGGTAGCTTAGATTCAACATGCTGACCACATTCGGATGGTAGAGATCGAAGCGTTCCGGAATTTGTTCCACGTTGAAGGACAACCGATCTGCATTCTTATCCGCTCCTGCAGCGCTGGAACACAGCGCCGAATCCAAGATCGTATGAAGCGTCTGGTAGTTCAGTAACTCATCCGGTTGGCGCACCCCTTCGAGCATCTTGAACAAGTTGTCACATACATAGCAGGAGAATTCGCCATCCATCAGAAGGAAGTAGTTTCTCAAACTTTCAAAGTGACCCAAAATATCCAGATCATTCAAGCACATCTTCAGGATCTCGTTGTTCACAATCTCCATGTGCGCTTTCAGCGGAATGACCAACGAACTCTGCAGGAATCGCGTCACCGTCAAAACGTCCACGCTCCTCAGCTCACTGTCCATCTCCATAAGTTCCGAGATGCTCCCCAGGTCATTCTTAACGCTTGCCAATTCGCACAAGTTCATGTCACGTTTCTTCAACGCCTCGACAAACTCCCTGTATATCTCATCCTCCTCGCAACTCACTTCCGAAGCAATCTCCAGTTCCGAACAACTCTTCCTGACCACCGGAAACTCAAAGCCTTGCCTAGCGTGAAGTCCGGCAGTGTTCAAACCACTTTCCGGCGTTTCCTGTCCCAAGACCGCCGTGTCCGGTACGCCAAATCGACTCTCGTTGAACTTCTCCCGCGCTGCAATCGTGTCCAACTTCAATTTCCCATCCTCCCCCAAGATCGGATTTGCATTCACATCCTGCGGGACATCATCGATCACGATCGCCGGTACCTGAATATCCTCGCTAGCCGTATCGCTGTCGACCGACATCGGCGTATCGGCAAAGTTCTGCGCTCCGGTAACGATGTTATACTCACATTCCAGAATCCGGCGGCGATTTTTCGCACGATCCGTGTCCAGATTCAAGAACATCTCCGGCTTTCTATCCTTCTTGGAACCACGGTCATGATCGTCCACGAGCACATTGTACGCGTGGCTCATGATTTTCATACGATTCTTCTGCAACTCCGTCAACTCACCACTCTCCTTGGGCTTCTCTTCCCCATCCTCCCTGCCTTCCCGACTGGTATAGTCACTGATCAAGATCCTCTGTCGATTTCGGTGCCGATCCTCCGTTTGATTACTATTCACATCAACATCCTTCCCCGCTCCTCCCCGCAAATCAAACTCCTCCGTCAAAATCTTCATCTTGTTCCTCTGCGCCTCGGTCAACTGTCTCAGCCCAGCCGAAGCCGTTTCCTTGATCGCCTCCACATTGGCATTCTCATGATCCTCCGCCAAGTATTCACCCAAATTCGATCCCAAAACCTTCTGCCTGTTTCGTTCAATCTCACTAATCACATCATTGCAATTGACCACATCGCTCTCCGTGATCCCCTGCGGATTCTCCATGAGCGTTCGATCGCCAGTCTGGTCACTCAGCGGACTCTTCTGAGCGTCTTCATACACCGACCCACCATCATCCTCCGTCGCACTCCCAATGCACGATTCGAAGTCACTACTCTCCCCGCCGGACCCTGCCACTCCGGTCAGCTGTACTTTCAACCGCTCCACCTCCTTCTCCGCCTTCTCCACCTTTTCATCCATCATCCTGTTCAACTCCCTGTACCCTTCAACCGTCTTCTCCCTCTCCAAATTCTCCGCCATCAACCTTCGGTTCTCAAACTCCAATCCTTGGTGCTGATACTTTTCCTCCAGTTCCACTTCCCGCTTCTTCGCCGCCAGCTTGCTCTCCCGGATCTCGTTCAGATGCTCCAGCAGTTCCTCCATCTGGCGTTCCTTCCTCTTGCGCAGTACCAGTGCTTCGGCATCCTGATCCAGGCGCCACTGGTCCATGCTGCGACGGAAGTTGGCCTCCACCAGGCGGAAGAATTCCTCCCGTTCGTGCTCCTTCTGTTCGTAGAGCTCCCGAACGGACACCGGAGCGCCGCAGATGTCCCGCGCTTTGGCTACGTACTGAAGCCAGCGGCTTCGCAAGCGATTAACCGCCGGGTACGAGATGCATACCTCCAACTTGGGGATTTTCAGCGAGAAGATCGGGTGCTGTAGAAGAGGAAAAATTATCAGAGCTTGTCTTTTTTTGGTCAATTTCCCACCCACTTACCGACGGTTTGAACGCCTTCAGCAGCATCGTGTACTTCCCGCACAGCAGAATGTCCTCCTCGAACCCCTTCAGAAATCCCGGCACCGTCTGCCTGCGGATCAGAAAAGCCTTATCGAAAAAGTGCTTCGTCTTCGGCCGATAATGGTTCACAAAGTAGATGAACAGCTCGCCGCTGGGATCTCGCAGCTGGCCGCCAAAGAGCCACTGCTGAAATATTAGAAAATACGCGTAGCAGCAGTGCTTCAGGATGTGCAGCAGGAACGAAGAAACATCCCCACTGGTGATGTAGATAATTTCCTTGTATAAGTGATCCAGAAAGACTGACCCGGTGGGGAAATCTTTGTCGCTTTCGTCTGAAACAGATCAATCCACTATTAGCACAACACTGTCTTCATAAACCCTCCACCTCAACCACTCACAATTGGGATGAATGCCACAAAACTTGGCCAACGCCAAAATCTGCTTCTTCATGGGTTCAATTTTTCGCTGCAACTGTAGCAAAGATCGCCCCTCGTAGCTATTGACCACGATCTGGAAGCAGCGCAGAATCCGCTCCACGCAGTCACAAAACGCCTTAAACACGAACCCCTCCAAGATCATTGCATGACTATATGGATTTTTCCTGGTCATCTTCTGCAGCCTTCTGAAACAGGTTCCCAGTTCCACGAACTGATCTATCACTCCTTTGATAGTCAACGGGGAGATGCCATCGACGGTGAAATTCCCCATCATTAGGAACCGATTACCCTCCCCATACTGGAAGCACCGGGAACTGGTTCCGGTTAGCAGGAACTTCACATCTCCCAGAAAGTCATCATTGCGTACTATCCGAATTTGATTCGATTCTCCACCTCGATGATCCGCATTCAGTGCTTTCAAATGCAAAACCGCATTGCACTCGGATGCAAATGGACTTTCAACTGGAACGAATCGATTGCCCAGGTTTTCCCAATTAAAGTTGAAATTCTGTTCCCTTTGACTGCTCACAGCGACCGTCTGTGTTTCGACAGAATCTCCCGGAATGATCTCAAAACTGGTCAGCAGCTGCTCATCGTCCTCGACCACTCCCTTCATCATGTTGTAACGGAACGGTCCTTGATAGCTGACCAACTCCGCCATCGGGTCACTGAAATGGGTGCTCTTAATCTGCGGCAAAATTTTCCTCTTAATGGATTCCCTATCCGTGGCCTCCATCAAGCTGGTTACATTTTCCGAGAAGACCATTCCCGATTTCTTCAAACAGTAAGGATTGGAAGCTCTGTCTTTATAATAAGCATTGATTCTCTTCGAATCCGCTCGGAAGTCATCTGGCCGGAAGATCGGATAAGGCCCCAGGTGCTTCGATGGCATCATGTCTCCAGCCAGAGAAAAGGGCTGAAATTAGTGTCAATCATTAATCTAAAACCTTTCCAATTATGCCCTACCAAAATACCTCATCTTCGAGTTCTCCCCCATCCGGAACCGAATCCCTCAACAATAGCAAAAACTGCAAAATCTCCCTCTGATCCTGCAACCCTTCGTTCTCCTCCTTCCGTTCCAGTTTCAACTCGTTCAGCAACCGTTCGAATCGATCGCACCGTCGTTTCTGGAATCGATACCGGGTCCTCAGCTGCATGTGGAACAGGTGACAGTGTAACATCTCGACCGGCTCCTCCTGGATCAAGCGCCGTTCCAAAGCGCTCTCATCACCTTTGGCCACTGCTGCTGGCTGCTTCCCCAGCAAAATCCCAAATGCTACGGATTTGCATTTTTTCACCGCCGAAACCGACGGCTTGCCACCCGATTCGCGGCCCAGTTCCTGCACCAAATCGCCAATTAACTCGTAGGCACTGTCCGTGGACATTTTCGCGCGAGCAAGATATCGATTTTTCAAGCACACTGTTGTTTTATTTATATTTACATATCCCGTTCAAGTTCGAGGTCTTTTTTTCTGGATGGAAAAATCATTGCCAACATTTCAAAAAGGCGTAATTGCATTTGTAAGCAATGGCTTTAGCTGTCAATTTCTCGAGAATAAAAGCTCACCCATAAAAAATAATGACACAAACAGGTAGAGGTATGTTTCCTCTACCAGTTAGCATTGTTATTTTGGAGGAGTGAGCTTTTATTCGCGAGAAATTGACGGCTTAAGCCATTGTTTACAAAAGCATTTACGGCCCTTTGAAATGTTGGCACTGAAATAACGATGGAATCTGCGCGGAAAAACTAACGAAAGAGAAACTCGAGAAACTCGAGAAAAACATGACAGTAACTGGCAAACGGTTTGTTGGAATTGGGAAACAAAAACAAAACAAAAACATGAACGCGGGCAGCTCCGGGATCGAAACGATAAAAACGATAAACTGAAAAGCTGTGCGCAGGGATGTGTCAAACTGAAGAGGGTCTACACAGAGAAAAAAATTACCCTAAATTTAAGTTCTTTTTACTTAATGTTGGGTAATTTTGAATTTGCATCAAACTCTCCCTTTTTGTTGCTGTCAAAAACTGAACGAGAGATTCGATTTTCTCATGACTATCGTTCAATAAGCTACCCGCATAAACGCGAACCATAAATTGACCTTACCTAAAATGGTTAAAAATTGTTTATAATCCCTGCTAAACTTTAACTGAAATGGTTATGGAACTTTACATGAACGTTTAATGATAAAGTTTCAACCTTATGAATTATGGTTTTTTGGAACTGGACCTTACAAATAATGGGTTGTTAAGAACCATTACCCAGTTGAAGATTAGATCTCATTGCCGATAGACGTTTTGTTCGATCGCTGCGTTGTTTTTTCGGTTGCTTTTGATAGCTATCCAGTACGGTGAAATGTCGAGTGTAGTAGCCGTCACGAATACCATTGCTTTCATATTCCCGAATAATGCTGCCCAACCAACTCTACCGGAGATGGTCCGCTTCGTGAAAGGCCTCACCGGTGATCAGGGAAAAATGGACACGGCGTATAAGAATGCTGAGGAGAGGACGGTATTCATTAAATACAAGTCCGAGGAAGGCATGAGGGAAGCCCTCTCTTGTAAACGATGAAAGGCAAACGTTCCATTATTCTAATGGAACACAAGTGGAGGTTTGCATGTCGGTAGCGGGTTGTAACATTCAATACGTACGGGTGTTTGACCTACCGCCGGAGGTATCCGATCGTGATCTTGCTGCTGAACTAATCAAATTTGGGAAGATTAAGCGCTGTGTGCGGGAAAAGTATCCACCCGAATATCAACTGGATTTGTTCACTGGTGTCCGCGGAATTTACATGGATGTGGAGAAAGAAATTCCACCAGCGCTCTACTTCCTTAGCAGAAGAGGAAGAATTTTCTACAGTGGAAATAAATTGAAATGCTTTGCTTGTGGACAAGAGGGACATCAAAAAAAGTCTTGCGGAAGGAGGAACGTAAAAATAACAAGAGACACAGGAGCAGGTGTCGAAAAAAAAGAAGACGGGAAAAACACATTCGCTGCCGTTCTCGCAGGAACGAGTTCGCCAGACAATGTCGAGAAGCAGGCAATAGATTTGGAAATAGAGATGCTGGAGGAGGAAGAAGAAGAAGAAGAAATCGGTACAACACTGGAAGCTGAATTGGATCACGGAAAACAGCAGAACAATCAACACAACCAGCAGCAGCAGAAGCAACCGTTATTACACTACCAACCGCAAAAGCAGCAAAAGATTGGAAACTGGACTGAGCACGTTCAACTGCATACAAAGCTGCTGAAGCAACAGCAGAAACAACAGAAGTATGCCAATGATAATTCACCGCCCAGGAAGACCTTACGTCCCAGCTCTTCACGTTCGGGCACCGGATCAGATTAGTTTTAATAATTCAAATGAATTGTAATTATTCATTCTTTTGACTCTTGGCTCCGTAGAGTTTTAATTAACAGTTGAGCCTTACAAATAAATTAAATGGATAAAAAAAAAAAAGAACCATTACCGTTCCAAATTCTTGTTTTCTCCATACATTTTCGGAAAGAGAACTATATTAGAACCTTTTAACTTATAGTTTGAGAACTTTAATGGTAATGGTTATGGTAGTCAGTAAGGTCCATGAATGGTTTTGTAACATCGATCAACTTTATGTGGAATATATCGCGAATTGGTTCCCTAATAAAAAATAATGGTTACGAAAATGGTTCAAACGACATTCAAACCTTACTCATTATGATAACTACTTCAATAATAATTCATAAATGGTTTTTGTTTAATGGTCCAAATATAATTGAATGTAAAAAATAATGGTTAAAAAAAAAAGCGTTCGAGTAAGTTCAGTTACGATTTATTTATGCTATAGACCTGTTTTCAGTGACAGCTGGATACATTAAATTTATAAGAATACTGCTCAAGCATCTGAGAACGAGCATACAAAATAACCATAAGAAATATTTGACAATCTGTTCTGGTTATCATCCGACTCTTATCTGATGTGGTTACACAATACGTGATATCGTCCATGTTTGTTACTTCGCCTAGAAAATAGCCATAAGAATTAAGAAATATATGCTAAATAACCTATTCGGTTTATCATCCGAACCGAAAGTGGTAATAGTTTTTTTCGAGGGGAACGACTCTTCCAGATAATCTCAAGATATCTAAAATTTGAACCTTATTAAATAGAATTCACATCCTAAAACTTTATTGAGAATTATCTCTTTCAATTAGAAGAACTGAATGAAATCTGAAATATCCGATAATATCGATAAAATCTGTTATATGTACGTTGACATCTCTTTGATATCGAATAATATCGGTTCACATCACTAAAAACTCAACTGTCAGATTTGTTCGATTTTTTTTTGTCGACCAATTCAGCAGTTTTCGGAGAGCAAAACAACAGCTGTTTGGCAGGAAAAGCAACAATAATTGTTATACAGCTTTTAAAGTGGTGAAACCGGCTGGATTCCGAGGATTTGGACAACTAGAGGCACGACTTCTCTTTTCGTTTAGGCAAGTACCTGTGCATCTACGACGGAAGAATTTTTTTTAGCCAGGCCGGATATATGGAGCCAGATAAAGCAGTCAGACTGGGACGAAACATTTTTTAATCTCCGTGAAAAATGCTTTTTCTCGAGGTGCCTCGCAAGTAGTCTTGTTATAAGGGGATAGTCGTTGTTCTAAAGACGATTAGTGATTTGATCCATCTTTACCATCAGGCGTTGCAAAATAACTGAATAACAACAATACAAAAGCTGCGTTGGAACGGAAAGACAATTCGCGAAAAGAAGAACACGCAGAGGACAGCAAGACAAAAAAAAAGTGACGAAGTAACAAAGCTACTCACGAGATAAGAAAATGGATCAATAAAAACAATGTCCTTCCATTTTTTAGGAGCATTTGGATGGATCCTAGCATTGTAATCCGTGTCAATCTAGTGGATGTGTGACGCTTGTCTGGATGATTGGATATGAATAGAGGTAAAAAGATAAAAATGAAATCGGGGAAGCCCCACCTGCTACAGTGGGCTTTGAATGAATATAGCGGATTAACGTCAGGTATTATGTAAGTACGTGGGCTGGGCTTGGTTGGGAGATCGTAAAGTTTTTCAATGTTGCTTTTATCATTTCCCAGATTCATCCGGCTTGACGCGTGAAACCCTACATACCATAAGTGATTCGTTTTGCTTAGGGGCTGCCTTTGAGAGTCTCTGCGCTGGGGTGCTGTCCTATTTTACCCTAACATTCGCTACACCATGTCACCATATAAAAATGAATAATAATTGAGCAAGACAATGAAACTACATAGGTTTTTTGTTCTCTTTCTCCCTCCCTCTCTCTTTCTTTATTTATCACAGAGTTCACAGCAGATTAGTTTACGTATGATTTTATGTACTCTACCGATTCCTCGTCGAACAGCATCAAACCTGCATTTAGCGAAGGTTTTTTAAGATGCGTTTTGTAATGTTCAATGGCTATACAGATAGTATCACTATCTTCCAATAATTCAACAATGTAGTCTTCATCGAAAGGAATTAGTTCAAAAAATGTTGCTTTAACGCCAATTCCTCTTGCTTCAACACCATCTGGTACATGAATGGGAGCAGTGTTTCGTGAATAAGATGTTCTTTTTCCACTCAAATATGTGAAATTATAAACTTTGCACACCAGGAATCCACTGCTAGTTGCAATTAGAATCCACTCGCCGATTGTAATTTCACTTAAGATTGTGTTTTTGAACGTTAGATGAAAGGACTCACTTGTAGTTGAATCATGATATCTGTGTAACCTATCCGGTGAAACTTTTTCAGCTTCAGATTGCAGCATCCATATAAAAGTAGATTTTTTTACGTGTACGACATTACCATTTTTATTGCGGATTTTAAAAGTATTCCGTTGACAGAATCCAGAAGCGGTTTTGACTTGTAATCGTAGCCCTGTGTCTGAGAACAAATCTTCACAATCATATAATCCACCTTCATCAACGGGATCTTCGTTTAACTCCATCGAGACTGGAACGAATTCAAAATTTCCGGTTTGATCATCGCACTTGTTTTTAGGATTTCGTATGTATATGCACTCTTCAAATGAATCACCGGATAGTGTTATCCCTAAGGATTTCAACAAGTTCTGTGCTTCGATCTTAGCGTTCTGAACAATACAAGTTATTTGTGAGTTTGTAGGTAACTGTAACTGCTTGCTGTTTGTTTCAATGTTCTTCAACCTCGGAAAAGTGAAGTTATCTTTTTGTTTGTACATTATATCAATTTTTGCTTCTATCCTGTTCAGTCTTGACTCGAACGTTTGCATATTGAAATTAACCACCGTAGACTCAGTAGACGTAAAAGATCGAGCAGAACGAAAAAAACTTTCGCACGTTTGGCTTTGTAACAATGTTACATCAAAATCATAGCCTTTCTCACGACAGAGAATTGTGAAATTAATCAATGCATGAGCGTTGATTTCCATGCTCCAATAGCAATTCGTGGTAATACAATGCTGAATATTCTTGTACTTTGAAACACACCATCTTCGCCAAGCTCTCATAAAGAAAAGTCCACACCTGAAATTAAATTAGTTTAACTCTTTATTTTACGTTTTTACAATACTTAACCATTTATAGATAAACATTTCAAAAGGTCCTATCTGCATTGATCGATTCTCTTCATCGGCTTTCTCTTCCGTTAATAACTCAACTTCAAAAGCATTCCCTGCTATATTCAACATTCTAAGCACAAGATAGAAACTTCTGCTTTCTAACTGTGTGGAAAAATAGCACAAAATGCATTTGCGTAGGCGTGGTTATCAAAAGAGAAAGTCGATGAAGAGAATCGATCAAAGCAGATAGGACCATTTGAAATGTTCATCGATATTTGTGTTATTTATAGAAATGTAAAGTTTTTGTCCTTACCACACGTTAAACAATCTATCTTCGGGAGTCATATCGATGTTCATGAAAGATTGCATGATGTTCATCATCAATTCCAAGTACGTTGCCGTGCCTTTTGCTTCGGGAAAACTGTCACGTAACAATATTATGACCCTGGGCTGCGTTATCTTTTCAACAGGTTTGAATTTCATTTTGTCCGTTGAAGTTAGATCAGAAGGAAACAACCCATGCTGATCTCTAGGCAATGCTAACAGCTCAAGCAAATGTGCTCGTGAAATCGTATACATACCTAAATCAAAAAAGAATAAGAAACTGTGTGATACCATCAAATCAAAATATTGTTATTGATTATAGTTACCAATAATAAGCAGCTTCTCGACTTTCATTAAACGTATCCTCATCTTATTTATAAGATGAGTAGGATCCTGAATGCAGATACTTTTCGTCGAGTATTTGCATGCATACCACGTGCCAAATGGGTTTGGGTTCATGGAAGGTATGTCCATCTTTCGCAACATAGATTGAACTAACCGGGCGTCTCCATCGGACGCTCGGCAAACCAGCTGAATCCCAGCTTTTGAACACTCCTCTTCTGTATAAGCCCATCTTCGAAGTACGTCTTCCGTCTTAAATTTATTATCAGAGCATGTAAACATCAGGCAAAACGCTCTCGAACCAGATTTGAGGGGTTGGGCCATTATTACATACAAATTACGACCAATGCTGTACTGCCTTAAGTACTCAATAACCTTCTTCGGAGATGTTGCCACAAAAAAATGTTGAATGGGCATACCATTCTGGTCCATTGGTGGAACCAAGCCATAAACCGTATCCCGGCTGATGTTGTAACCAACTCCACCAGTTATTCTGGTCGCATCTTCGCTGAGGACAAATGCTTTAGGAAGATTATTGAGGTTCAAAAATTTCTCAAACTCGGAAATTCTTAAACAATCTGGTTCAACTCCAGAGGTCATTTTACGAAGATGCCGTTGGCACGTTCTAACGGTGGGTGATGTAGAATTCGCATGTTCAAACTCATATGCTGATCTACCTCCTTGTATGTACTTGAAAGTAAAATAGTCTAATTCCTTGGATGTGTATCGTCTTGCTTTCGGTGGTTGAGGTTCCAAACGATTCTCGCACATGGATAAAAGAGAGACGATAGATCTGGAAGTATTGGCCTTTTCACTAGCAACACTACGGTCAGCCTCGTCGTAGTGCTCAGTTAGTTTAAATCACTTGATTGTGTAGTTGTGCTGTCCTCATCGTTTTCCCAGTTTGCTGAAATCGAATGTGCAGTTTCGAGTGCTACCTCCTGAGACTCACTGTTCTGATTTTGCTTCTCTTCTTCTTGTTCACTGCATTCATCTTCTTTTCTACTGTTGAAATCATTTTCTCTGTAATGCTCTATTTCACTTCCGCCTTCAATGTGTTTGCTGTATCCATCCTCTCTATTGGAATCGTTCATAGTTGATGGTTCGGCCTCTATCCATTCTTCCACAAGTACCTCTGCAATGCTACAATCTTTGTTGAGAACACTTTGTGCATTTTGCTCATCATATTCGGAATACGGCCGCTTTGTTCCACGGTTTTGGCTAGGTTGTTTGGAGTTCGGTTCAGACAAGTGCTTTGAACGGATGTGAGCAGAAAAATTTGACACTTTCCATGTCCCCGTCGGTTCTGGACGAATCATAACGATGGTACCGCAAAATGGGCAAGACACCAGTGCTTTCCTACCACTTCCGTCGTTAGAGATGGTTATATTGGCTCCGTGTATTTCCGCAAGCCAATTTTCATTCTCTGGAGTGCCGTATCTGTAAATAAATTGCATTTAATTAGAAGCTTCCTAAGTTAAATATTGCCAATAATACTTTTTTTCGAAAAAATCCATAATTTTGGTTTTTACGGATTCTGTCAATGCCAACGTTGATGCTTGCTGCTGCTGTTCAGGTACACTTCGTAGCATACTTCTACTGAACTTGGTTATCCCATTTCTTCTTATGGTTGCAGCAATCATCTTTAATGAGCTGCGCTCCCCCGTAGTGAACCTGAATTCGCTAAGATCACCGTAATAATTCAAAATCTTTTTCCACTCAACTTCGTTCTGGCCTGTGGTTGTTGGGAACAGCTGGACATCTCTTTGTATACCTTCAATCGCGTCATCGTCGAGGAAGGCCAGGCCTCCATGAATAAAATTAGTCCGTTCTAGAACTATCCTTACGTTCTTAGGAACAAGTCCAATTTCTTTTCCAATCTCCTTCCAGAAATGGCCCATTATAACAAGAAAAATGTTCTAAAATGAAATCTCTAACATAACAATTTCGATCACAGTTTTTAGATGTATACAACAATATTTACTTTTCCTTGCCGGAATGTTTACACTCGTAGTATTTTTACTTTTCTAACATACGAGTCGATATGAGAGATGTGATTGGTTTATATAAAATAATTATAATTTTTTTTTTATATATCAGATTTCATCGGATTTGTTTGATTTTTTTTAATTTTGAATACATACAATCTAAAGAGCTTCCAATAAAATCTGGTAGAACTAACAATAATAATCAAAAACGGTGAAATCCGAAAAAAACGGCTCGAAAATTGTAATTAATGAAAAACATCACATTGTATTCAAAAAAACATATATATTCTGCAAATTCTAATGGTATCGTTCATAAACTATATCAAACGGATGAGAGTCGTTCCCCTCGTGTTTCTCTATACTATTCCACTTTTTCCTCTTCTTTTCGCATGTGTACAAAACACTTTCTTCTCTTAGCCCCTGCTCTCGGTAAAACCAAAATGGCTTCCTAGTCACATCCACTCTTCTTGGAGACGAGATATTAATCGCAAGATTTCACACTCAAATTTCACGAATTTCTTGACTTTTCCACACCGAACGCGAGCCACGGACGATGCGCACCGATTTTGCGTATAATTATTCCCATAGGATGTAATTTTTCAGCCAATTTTCCCCGATTTCAAGTGCACAGTCTATCTCGAACTTCAAAATTATTCCCTATCCGAAAAATTCTATGCCACTGAATCTCGATTTTTCACTGGCTCGATTTGTTGGACCAAGCACTGGAATAACAATGGCAGTTCCTTGTCTCAAACGTCAGGTCGATCCGCATCGGTGCGAAAAACCTGGCAGTGTTGCGAGATTTAATATCGCATAGTAATTAGCTGTCATATCGCATAATATTAGTTTAACGTTACACAATTATTTGTTGAATGACCTATGTGCAGCTGTTGCTGTGTAATAATTATGTTATTTATATGTGAATATAACACACATGTGACGGAATGAAAAACCGTCATTTTGTTTCTGCGTAATTCGAAGAACGATATAATATTACATCGAATTGGTGTTAATTTGCATATATTTCTCACAATTATATCTAGTTTCTTGATACGTTAGCATCATTACACAGCAAAAAAATGTAATATCGATCAATTTAATTCAAGCTGATTTATGAAATAATGATGTAATAGCAAAAAGCACACAGCAAAAAAAAATGTAATATCGATCAACGTAATTCAAGCTGATGTATGAAATAATGATGTAATAGCAAAAAGTAGATACAATATTACATCAATGGATGTAATTTTGTTCGCAAAATCGATGTACATCGTACAATGTGATATTACACAACCGATGGATTGACCTGGTTGCATCAGTTTCGATGTAATATTCAACAACTTTTTTTGCTGTGCAGATACAATTTTATATCAATGGATGTAATTTTGTTCGCAAAATCGATGTACATCGTACAACGTTATATTACACAACCGATGGATTGACCTGGTTGCAGCAGTTTGGATGTAATATTCAACAACTTTTTTTTGTGTGTACGTTGAGGCATATTACTTTTTTTTTGGCCAGCGCTTAACGCGAGTTAAAAAAATATTACCGTTTTTTTTATTCCCATTTTTCGAGGACCATCCCTGCGAGCATATCACTAACCGGCCATTTGACTGAAAAACGATAACCCCCGGCTATCAGCTGATTGCCATCGCGTCCACAACAAAAGCCCCTCGTGTTCCGGCTGCCATCGCGGCTGTCAACGCTGTCAACAGGGCCCCCACCGCGACAGCACTTCTCTGCCAAAACTGTCAAAGGTAGAAAATTTGGAAAATTGCAAAAGAAAACGGGAGGTGAAAAAACTTTCAACCAGTTGCGAAAAAGTTAATATTATCCCCGAAAAGTGTCCCGATCCGGACTGTAACTGCTCGCAAAGGGAAGCCCGCGTGCTTCTGCACCCGCGGAGTGTTGAATCCTTCGCCGGGCGATGGAATCCGGCCGGAAAAGTGCATTTTTCCTTTCTGCTGTATAGAGAGAAAATAATAGTTTCCATCTTTTCTTCATACACCACCGCGCACCAAACCTACCACCTTACCATCCGTCGTCATCGTCGTCGTCGTCGAACCAGTGAAAATAACAAGCATTCGGTGTGTTCAGGGAAAGAAGAGAAAAGTGCTGTGTTTGGGTAGTGAATTAGATTCTTTGTGTTTCATCTCTCGGGGATTGAAACGATGAGTGGTTTCGGAACGTCTGGCAGTACAGAGTTGCACTTCCGGGCGCTCCCCTATCTGGACAAGAAGTGGATTAAGGCGGACGTGAGTTCGGCGTTGAGATGTTCGGAGGATTTGGCCAATCTGTGGAATCATCTGGTTCAAGATGAGGAAGTAGTCGCCAGCAAGCCGCAGACGTCGGTCAATTCCTGCGGCGATGTGGCGTACGCCCGGCCGGACGGAAAGTACTACTGCGGAGTGCAGGCGTTAAGTTGTGCCTGCTGTAAGGGAGTTTGCAGTGCGACTTCGAGCTGCTGCTGTGCCGCCTGTCAGCTGCTGGAAGTGGAGGAAGGACCGGTGAAGAAATCTTCCGGTTCGAGTGGCGCTCAGCAGCAGCAGAACCAGAACCAGAACGATGGTAGCTGTTCGGGAACTATTTTGGACTCGTGGCTGTGGAGCCCCATACCAAGTAATATTGGGAGATTTGGAGTACTGCTCGGTGGGTGGGTGGAACAAAGGATTGATTGTTTGCTTTTGAAATTTTAGGTGTGGAAGAGAAACGCGCGTGCAGCAGAAAGCTTATTGCGGAACAAAGGGAGATATGCCTTCAGTCAGCGGCGAATTGCTTGTCGGCCACGCGCACCAAGCAGCTACTGTACGTCTATCGGAGATATTTCGTTGCCTTGCAGCGATGCAAGTTGGAAGAGAAAGCCCTAACAGCCGGCATGGATGATGGACGGTCGGGAATTAGCCAGGACATGGTGGCCAGCGAGATTCACGATGCAACCAAGTTGAGCGTAAGTTGATGTTGTTGTACATATGCTTTTCCGTTTGGCTTCCCCCCCGCTGCTATGCAAGCGAGAATGTGCGCCGATGAAACAGCGCATATTGTTTGTAATTTGAGAAGGTCATTGGCTTTGTTGTCGCGCAATACATGTGCTTTCGATTTTTTGTCCAGCGATGTGTTAGCTTGAGGTATTTTTTCTTTAACGATTTGTATTGCTTTACAGAAAAATCCCAGTTTTGATCGGACCCCTTTGAAGGATTGTGACAAAGCAACATTCGGATTGGCTCGCGTTGGAACCCGTGCTGCGCTGAATTTCTCGTTCGCCTTTCTTCGACGGGCATGGCGCTCTGGTGAAGATGTTGAACTGTGCTCGGAACTTCTGTCGGAAGCGTTGGAAGCACTCCAGACCCTCCCGGAAGCATCGCTCTTCGACACATCGCAAATGTCTTCACTGTGGATCGAGGTTGTCGAAAAGTCCATCAAATTCCTGAGGCAGGTTGTGCTAGGAGATGTCATGGGTGGTCGCTGTTTGGTCCCGAAAGCGGATCGCCACATTGCATTGAATCTCTTACTGGAATTGGGTGCCCAGAAGGGCACCCTCGGAGGATCGCTCGAAGGCATCTCCCTTCTGCTAACTCTGCACGAAAAAGATCAGGAAAGTGACGACAATCGAAGTCCACCACAGAATGCGGGAGCGCCGCTGGTATCGCTTCTCAAGCGCTACGAACAGATCGACAGCTTCGGATCGTACAGCACAGCCGATTCGTTCCACTTTGGACCGACGGAATCGTTTCTGCGGTTCCTAACCCTTCCGGAAAATGAAACGACCAACGTGGATCTCAAGCAGGCAGCCGTCATCATCATCAGTCATTTGGATCGGCTCGCGAAGCCACACCTTCCGGCAGGAAACTACTCGACCAAAGTTAACAAATCCAACGCGCAGAAGATTTTTACCTTGGGATGGAGTTCCTGCTCACCGGAAATGTACGGATTCACGTCCGAGGCGAGCAATGGGACTACGCAGCTGCTGGGTTCGGTTCCGAGGTATTCGGCTGCGACGATAGACCTCCCAGCGACGTTACAGGTTCGGCAGGTGGTCTGCACCGAGAATAGTATCTACATTCTGACCAACAGCGGTCAGGTGTTCTCGCTGCATTCGAACTGTTCGGAGAACATTGCTCCGAAGGCATTCGAAGGACTCGAAGGGGTCAATGTGATTCAGATTGCGGCTCACTGCGAGGGACGACATGTCATGGTGCTGAGTTCGGCAAACGAGGTGTGGTCCTGGGGAGCGGGAGACGGTGGCCGCTTGGGACATGGCGATACAGTGTCGAAGGAAGTTCCGGCCAAGATTGTCGGGCTGCTGGAGAAGCAGGTTTGCGGCATCTTCTGTGGAGCATCGTACAGCGCGGTAATTACTACGACCGGGGAGTTGTTTACTTGGGGCAAAGGAACCTACGGTAGGCTAGGACACGGCAATTCGGATGATAAGTTTGTCCCCACGCAAGTTCAAGCCCTGAAGTCGTACAAAGTGGTCGATGTTGCACTCGGAAGTGGTGATGCCCATTCCATGTGCGTAACGGATAGTGGGCTGCTGTTTGCGTGGGGTGATGGAGATTTCGGAAAGCTTGGAAACAGTTCCTGTAACGGATCGCCTATTCCGGTACAGATCGATACGGTCGCGAATGTGGCGCGGATCTATTCCGGATCGCAATTCAGTGTGGCGCTCAGCTTCGACGGAACTCTGTACAGCTGGGGAAAGGGTCACGGTGGACGGTTGGGTCACGGAAATTCTGAACATTCCAACGTTCCAAAGTTGATTCGGGCTCTGGAGGGAAAGAAGATCGTTGATGTCGCCGTTGGATCCGCTCACTGCCTGGCCTTGACGAGCAGCGGAGAACTGTACGGTTGGGGTCGCAACGACTACCAGCAGATCTGCCCGTCAGGAGTCTCTCGGGATCCCATCATCCAAAGTCCAATCTTAACGACGCCACCCACCCTGAGAATATCCGGCATGACCTGCGGTGCCGCTCAAAGTATCGTTTGGTGCCACTCCTCAACGCTTGGAGTCGCTTCCAAGATCCCGTTCGTAGTAGATCTCAGTGAACACACATTCCGAATGCTGGACCAGCTACTATGCATGGTCTGCAACACCCCCGGAGATGTCCGTCACCCACCAAGCCAGGAAGCGGAATGCATAGCCGTAGCATCGCTCAACCTTCTGCGCCTGCAACTGCATGCCATGATTGTCAACAACGTTTCCGCTCGGCAAGTCGGCCTTGTCGAAGGATCCCGATTACTTGCTAGCCTAAAATCTCGCATTCTCAACCTTGCCGGTGGCCCTGTCGTTCTGAAAACCATGCAGGAAGCTGCTCAATGGACTCTCCAGGTCGGTTGGTCCATTCTTCTCCCGACCGCTTCGGAACGTGCTCAAACACTTACCTCGCTTCTCCCGGCCGGTCACGATACGACCATCACCAGCAACAGTTCCGGCCATCGCTTTATGACTGATCTTCTCGTTGGGTCCTTAATGGCCGAAGGAGGCCTTCAAACAGCCCTGAATCAAGCGATCAACGCTCAACGCTCACAAGACTGCACCTCCACCGGAACCCATCTGTCCCTGTTGCATTTACTGAAACAATTGCTACGAAACAATTCCAGCCTAACGCAGGCCCGACTGGGTCAACTCATGCTCGGGCCATATCTCAAGACTGAGGAAGGCTTTTCTTCCCCGGAACCACCCTCGCCCAGTCTCGATCTGCTGCACAAGTTTCAACGGCTGCTCCTGTCCTACATCTACCAATCCAAAGTGGACGATCTCAGCGGTGCCGAAGCCCTTCTGGATACCTACATCCAACAGGTGGTCGGTGCATGCGTAACCACCTTGAACAAAGCCCATGAAACTATCCTCCAGGGTAAGGACGGTGTTGCCGAAATCCTAAAGAACGACATCTCCGACGCTCTGCTCTACGAACTTTTGATCGGTCTAGTCCTGATCCAAAAGGAAAAATCCCTCTTCCTGTCATCGTTCGATTGGAACAAGCACTTCATCGGACTTCTGCACGCCCTGGACAATTTCAACAGGCTCACCCACGAAGGCGAAGTGCACGACTCCGATGACATGGGATGGCCGGGAATCATCTGCCGTGGTACCGCTAAAGCTGCTCCTGTTCAGGAGGAGACCCTCCTAATCCGCAGAAGCGACATCGAGAACCACTGCTCGGACGGAGGCAATTGGGTCATCATCAATGGCAACGTGTACGACGTCAAGGACTACCAAGCGGAAAACGCAACAACACAGGAAATTCTCCACGCAAACGCCGGAAAGGACATTTCCCTAGAGATCAGCAATCCCCAGCATAGGACTGCCTTCGAATTCATCACTTCGTTCCTACGGGTGGGACGCTTCGCAGTCAACGAAATCTGCGACAAGGACAGCCCCCGACAAATGACCACTCTAACCCATTTCCACTCGGAATGCATGCTGGCCTACCTGCTTGGACTGCGAAGCAACATCCTCCAGGCGGGATCCGCTCTTCAACCGGCGGAAATCCAATGCAAGAACCTTCTCAATTCCACCATTCTCAGCGGAGGACTCCAAGTTCTTCAACCGAGCAATCCCTTCGACGAGGAGAAAGGTGAAGCCCGAAGCAGTGGTTCCACGGCCGGCAGCACCCCGACAGATGCGTCCAGTCAGATTCCCATTGCCGACGTCCCACAGATGGCCAATTGGCCATCGGTATTGATTTCGCACCGGGTGGAGACAATGCTTGCCAACTTGGGCGAAGCGAAACTTACGGATCCGCTGGTCGCGTCGTGGATTGCCATATGCGAGAAGTACTGTAAAGAGAATCATCTCATCTGGCACCAGGAGTTCCCACCGGAACATCCCGTAATGGAACTGGAGCGACTGCTGATGGGAGTGCTCATTAGGCACCAGAACCTGGGACCGCTGGCGTTGGCCGTTGTCGATAGAGGTGAGTTCTTGCGCTTAGCTGATTACGACCCACATCCCTTCAATTTCCAATCTCATTCCACAGAACTCAGCGGCAACTGCTCCAAGCCTCCGGCACCGATAGTCAACATCATCAAAATAGTCCATCAAACCAAGTGGGGCATCGTCAAGATGCGTCAACAGCTGAACCGCAGCTACAAGGAAGTGTGCGCTCCCATGATCGACAAGTGTCGCTTTCTGCTGTACGAAATCCGCCCGGCCATCAGTCTGGAGCAGCATGGCCTCAGCAACCTTCACATTCTGCACAAGCTACCCCGCTTCAAGGCCCTGGTCCGACGGATTATCACCGACATGCGCGCGGCCAAGAAGCAGCTCGCATGCGCCAAACCGGAGGACATACTGAACGTGACCATCCAGAGTCAGTTCACGTCCTCGATCACCAAGATCCAATCGCAGGAAAATCTCAGCTGCAAGAATCTCTCATCCACGGAGAATCTAGTCAACGAAAGTCTCATCAAGGTGGAAAGTTTAGAGAGTTTGACGACAGCTGTGGCACGGGATCGGTGCTCATCGCCAGTGGTTCTGGCCGTCCAGAAGCATGCTGCTTCCGATGAAAATCTCCTAAGTGCGGTCAATACGGAGAACGTCGTGACAAACGGGCTCGTCGTCGTTGGTGGGGGAGGAGGAGATGCTGGAGATAAGAAGATTCCGATTTCCAGTGAAGAGATCAAGACGCCTACGAATGAACTTATCGACTATAACAACTCGAAGATGAAAAATCCGGACGGCGGCGATGAGTTTATCAACAACGTGATTGCCAGCTTGAGTGAGAAGTGTCTGATCGAATCGTATCCGACCGAGTTCAAGAACGGCATCAGTCAGCAAATTGTGGATTTCATACTGTACGACCTGTGCGACGTGGAAACATTGAGACGTGCAATGTACTGCCAGATTCAGCGCTATCAGATTCGCAAACAGGGTCTGTCGATGCTTTATGAACTGCTGAAAATCGTAGGTCTGTTCGATGCTGCGCAGTATAACCTGTTCAACGGATATCTAGGCATGCACGTGGCCAAAGGAGAAACGCAAAATGCGGAGCACATTCTGGAGAATCTGAACATGATCACCGCTTTTCAGAAGGCGGACATTCTGATCGCGCAGGCGAAGATCATCGAGTGGGCGGTCGCCGAGCTGCAAAAGTATGTCAATCAGGAGAAAATCAACGGACGGCATCGCAATCACGGCGAGAAGGACAATTCCAACCTGGGAACGTACGTGTTTCTGAAAAAATTGCCGCGGGCACGATTCCTGTTGAGCATTTTCGGCATACTATCCACGACGTATGAAGCCAATGAGTTGAGTTTGCTGATCAATTCCGGCATTCTGGGAAGTATTATGGGTCTGTTGAGACAGACTGGAGCGGATCTACCGAACAGCAAGAACAATACGGATATTTCCGTCATCTACGAGGACGTGGTAACGAATGTAAGTGTTGTAACTTGCTGGTGTGTCTGGCGGTTCGTTTAATTGGCGGTGATTATTTGCAGCTCAAATCATCAAAGGAAGGTCTGCCTGGGCCGGAGCTGGCCAAATTAATGAAGATCGGAACGAGGATTGCCCGTGGAGCGGACTGGAAGTGGGGAGAACAGGATGGTCCCGGTGGGGAAGGAAGAATCATCAGCGAAATCGGAGAAGATGGGTGAGTAGTATTGACGATCACATTTATTCTGACATTATCGATCCTCATTCCATTGCAGCTGGGTCCGTGTCGAGTGGGACAACGGCTCGACCAACTCCTACCGCATGGGTAAGGAAGGTCAGTACGACCTTCGGCTGGCGGACAGTGCCCTGAAAGCCCTCTCGCCGGATAAGGACAGCGAAAAGGAGGACTTCATCGATCATCACCTGTACAGCGAATCTCATCCCACCAAGCTGCTGCGTAACGTATGTATCAAAACCCTTCAGATGATATTCGCTTCCGTTGGCATTCACGCCGATAGAATGCAGGAAAATTCACTACGAAGCGTAGCTTCTATGTTCCGAGCGATCTTGACCAACCGAATTACGTACTACAACTTTGGCATGGAACAGTGGACGACGATCGGGTTCCTCCGGGCAATTTCCTCCTCAAAAGCACTATCGAAACATTTAACTTCGCCGGTTTGGGTTGATCTTGCATTCGAAATTCTAAACTCTGCGATCACTTGCAAAAAGGATGTCTACAAGAAACTTCACTGCTTAAGGCTGCTTCAATCTACCTTGATCAATTGGACTAACGAGGAAGCAGATCGGGTCGATGACATAATTTTCAAACTATTTGAAGTTCTTGGAACGATCACGTTGTACTGTCCGAATGATCTATCTCTGTTGAATAATTCGGCGGATATCAAGTCCAGAGTGTTGTACAGTGCGTCCCATACGGGAACGATCGCTGAAGAAATCATTGTACTGATCAGAAAGCTGCATACCCTCCCACTGTGGAATGAAAATATCAATTCATTCATTGCGCAAAAACTCTGTCTGGTAGCTGATGTGCTGCTCGTGAGCGAATTGGACATCAACTTCGAAGGCGAGAAGGCCTCTATCATGGGAACACTCTGCACGATCGGTGGTTGCGATTCAAGACCAAGGTTAGGTCTAAATCTAACTCTCGATGGAGTTCGCGGTACGATTTCGAGAATGACCAAGAAGGGAAAGGTGGTCATGAATGTCCACGCGTTGGCCGAAACCAAAAAGATACCGATCTTCAAGGTCTCCGAATGCGCCGATATAGGAGCCTTCAGTTTGTCCAAGTTGACCATCAATGAGATGCTGCTCAACTCGTGGGCTGTCCTGTTCTATGGAATAGGCCAAACACCGATGAACGTTGTCAACAATATCAGTACACATTTACTGCAAACGCAGCAGATCAACTTCTCTGCCTTGAAGGCAACCAAGGTTCTATTCCGTCATCAAAACCTACTTCGGAAAATTCTGCGCCAAAGATCACCGGGTATCACTCGAAGCTGTTCCAAGGATAGCGTCTCCGACCGGGACACCAGCCCAGAGGAGGGAAAGACCCGCAGTGAATCCAACACCTCAGACGAATCGCAAACCTTCACGGAGCTGTTGATCCAGACGATCCTACTGAGGGCTACACAACCCAGCCCACTGAAAGCATGCTACTCTTTCCTGGAGATGGAACTAGCTGCGCTCAACATCTCCCAAATGCTAGCAAGTCACGTTCATAATGAACTCAACGCCCCATCAAACTCCAACAAACGAGCATTCCCGATCAGTCAACCGACGATGATCCACGGAGTTCCGATCTACAACAACGAATCGGCCCTGGAGGACGCTCAGACTCCGTCCGGAGCGGAGGCCGTTACTGGTGCGTCGTCTGGCGGAGCTGGTCGTGGAACAGCGAGACGCAGTCCTCCAAGTCCACTGGTGGCGCAGATCATGGAAATGGGATTCACCCGCAAGTCGGTGGAAACGGCGATCAAAAGTTTGACGTTGCACACCAACAACAAACCCACAGCAGAGCAGGTCGTTCAATGGATTCTGGAACATCCGGATGTGACGGCGAACTTGGGCGGAAAAGGCGATGATAATGACGCCTACAGCGATACGGAAAGCGCCAGCTCGGATACCATGGATGGTGGATCTTCGATGCATGATTCACAGCATGTCGCATTCAAGATGCGGGAAGACTTCAAATCTACTGATCAGTATGCTATGTATGTGAGAGGGTTGATCTGTCCCGGGATGTTGGTTCGCTGCTGTCAAGATTTCGAGGAGATTCGAAAGGGAGACATCGGTACGGTGTTGAAGGTCGAACCGGAAGGGTTGCACGATCTGAACGTCAGGATTGACTGGCAAATGCATGATCGACCGTACTGGATGTGTTTCGTTCATTTGGAACTGCTGGAAGCTCCACCCTCGGAAAATAGTACCACGATCAGCGTTGGATCGCAAGTTAGAATTCGAAATACGCAACATTTTCGTTACCGGTTGAATACGATCCCGAGAGGTAGTATAGGAACAGTAACTTCGGTCAACGGGAGTGAGGTTACCGCTGAGTTTCCTCAGCAAACCCTATGGAATGGTCATCTGAACGAGCTGGAGTTGATCTCAAATCCCCTGCATGTGGGAAGTTCCGGGACGGGTGGGATCTATGATATCATAGATGATTGGTCCCGCTGTATCCGGTCTTTGACCGTTTCCTCGAATGAATCGTCGGCCAAGTACCTCTTGGATAGAAGTACCAACTTCTGGCAGAGTTCAAACACCCAAGGTAAGCACTGGATTCGACTGGAGATACACGACCAAGTCTTCATCCAAACCCTGTCGATCAACGTCGATCCGGATGATTATTCGCATATGCCCTCGCTGGTCGTGATCAAGGGTGGTGACTCGATGGCTTCGCTCAAGGAACTCCATTGGGTTTCGATCAATCCGACGGATGTGGTGGTTCCTCTGTTGAACGAATGCAAGCAGTACTACGCATGGGTTGAGATCCTGGTCAAGCAGTGTCGCAACAACGGTATCCAGTGCAAAGTACATGGAATCAACATCATTGGCAAGAGGAAGCAAACCGATCTGGAGATGATGCTGCAGAATGCTTCATTCCTAGCGACTGAGAACGATACTGCTGCCGAACCAACGTACTCGACCTCGTCGAACTACACCGATGATCAGTCGTCGAATGAAGTGTCTTCCAAAGTTTTGGTTTGGGGCTTGAATGACAAAGAACAGTTGGGAGGTCTCAAGGGATCCAAGGTGAAGCTTCCGACGTATTCCTCGGTGCTGAGTCAACTGAAGCCGATCCACATTGCCGGAGGATCCAAGTCCCTGTTCATCGTGTCCCAAGATGGTAAGTTGTACGCGTGCGGAGAAGGAACCAACGGTAGACTGGGATTGGGCCATAACAATAATGTACCTACCCCAAGACAAGTGCCGATCCTGAATCAGTACGTCGTGAAGAAAGTGGCCGTTCATTCTGGAGGAAAACACGCTATGGCGTTGACGTTAGACGGGAAGGTATTCTCGTGGGGTGAAGGAGAAGATGGTAAACTAGGCCACGGCAATCGACTGACCCTGGAGAAACCAAAGCTCGTCGAGAGTCTGCGAACTAAGAGGGTCCGTGACATTGCATGTGGATCGAGTCACAGTGCAGCAATCACTAGTTCGGGAGAGCTGTACACCTGGGGATTGGGCGAATACGGTCGCCTAGGTCACGGAGACAACTGCACCCAATTGAAGCCGAAGCTCGTGGCCACTCTTCAAGGACATCGCGTCATACAGGTAGCTTGCGGAAGTCGTGATGCACAGACACTTTGTCTGACGGAAGAAGGGCTAGTGTTCTCCTGGGGTGATGGAGACTTCGGAAAACTGGGACGTGGAGGGTCTGAGGGATGTTCAGTGCCCCATCAAGTGGAGCGTTTGAATGGCGTTGGAGTGATGCAGATTGAGTGTGGAGCTCAGTTCAGCTTAGCCTTGACCAAGTCCGGTGAGGTGTGGACTTGGGGTAAAGGCGATTACTATCGATTGGGTCACGGTACTGATCAGCATGTGAGAAAGCCTACTCCCATCCAAGGACTACGCGGGAAGAAGGTTATCCACGTGGCAGTTGGAGCGCTACACTGCCTTGCAGTTACCGACAGTGGCCAGGTCTACGCTTGGGGAGACAACGACCATGGTCAACAGGGTTCAGGAAACACAGTCGTCAATAAGAAGCCAAACTTGGTCTTGGGATTGGATGGAGTGTTCGTCAATCGTGTCGCCTGTGGAAGTTCGCACTCGGTAGCGTGGAGTCTGCCGCAGAATCCATCGGAAAAGGACAAGAAGGAACCAGTTCCATTCGCGGTCAGCAAAGATCCTTTGGGCAGCCACAGCTTGGGAATTCACGCTTCCGATACGGAACCGACGACGGCTCATCCGCAGGTTGGAGTTGCTAACGCCAAACAGCAAAGACCTTCGCTTTCCGAAAGCGTTCTATCGCTGGATACGTATGGCGCCCGACAAGCTGCTCTGTCCCATATACTGAACGCGATGGGTATTCTACAGGCTAGATCCTGTATCATTGCCGCACTGACGTGCCATTCACAGCTGACCGCGCATGACAAGAACCTCGGGGTATTTAACGAGACTCGTCCCATTACTCCGGTGTCCGAAAATGATCTGAATGAGTCCAAAGGCGACGGTGAAGCGGTAAACCAGCAGAATGAGGTAATCGCTCAAGGTGGAGGCGAAGGTCCGGCCGATGCTTCTGGATTAACGGTAAGTTCGCACGATAGCCATCTGCGCTCGATGAACTCTTAACAGGTCATTTTTTTTTTCTTCAGACAAACGAAATCAACGATTGCGATATCCCGATCGTATCCGGAATGAACAATGCGTTGAGTGCGTATCGCAGCCTGACGGGTTCGTTGTCGCTGTCAGCATCGATTTCCAGCTGCAATGCTACGCAACGACACTCTAAGATGTCCGCAAGCGCAATGTCTGTCATGGCAGCTACCATGACCCATAATGATGAGGTAAAATGCAATACATGCTTCCGTTTCACGATCGCTTGAAATCGCTATTCCCTCTCTAGATGATGAACGAGGCCCCGGTCATCAGCGGATTGGACGACTTCACTGCACTTTTGGGCGAATCGGAAGCAAAGCATCTTATCGAGCTGCTCAAGTTGAGCGTTTCCGGTCGTACAGGCCCGGCGAACACTTCGGAAACCATTGCCAGCACGTTGATCGCGTTGGCCAAAGGCACTACGACGATCGCCAACATGTTGATCGAAACTTGCATAACTGAGCTGGAAGATTTGTGCACCTCGCGACACTCGCTCGGCAAACTGCCGAAACCGGTTGTCCAGGAGACTAGTCATCCATACATTGACGACATCACGCTTGTTGGTAAGTGTAGTTGGAGGTTTCGTTGGTGCCTCAACTGATCATATTTTCATTCTCAATGTTTAGGTCACGTGAAGATTCCCGGTGCGGAAGCTCTACGTATCGAATTCGACAGTCAATGTTCGACGGAACGTCGCAACGACCCACTGATCATCATAGACGGTTCCGGGCGAATAGTGGCCACCCGATCCGGCCGAGAATGGGCTCAATGGGCTCCGGAAATTCGAATTGCCGGTGATGAAATGCGCTGGAAGTTTACCAGCGATAACTCCGTCAATGGGTGGGGTTGGCGGTTCTACGTTCATGCGATCATGCCCGAGTCCTATCTCCAGGAGCTAGGATCAGATCGTACGGTCTTGTCTCAACCTTCGATCGCAATGGTTATGGCTCTGTTGGACTCGTCGCTCGTACCGCACAATAGCAATACCTTGACTCGGCTAACGGCAGCTCTGTCTCAGTGTGCCCAACTCAGTTCATTGACCGTTGCCCAGAGGATCTGGTCACTGAAGAAAATGCATCAGTATCTAACCTCCAGGGAAGCCCCTCGTTCTCTCGAGCCATCCGTAAACGAAATCCTCACACCGTTGATTCCGATCATTCTTCGGCAGTACGAATACGAAGAACCGCAAGTCCGCACCGGACTCCATCTGATGCATTCCGAGTACTTCAAAACGATGGTAGCCCTGGCTTGCGATATGCAGCTTGACTCGATGCTGCCCCATGGTGATGCCCATAAATGGGCTTGGTTCCGCCGCTACTGTTCGGCCGTCCGGGTTGCTCAATCCCTGATTCGTCGGGTGACTTTACCCGCAACCTTTACCCTCGAAGTTCGTAAGAAGCTCATAGAGATCGCTTCGCCAGCGACGAACCTGTCGCTTCCAAACACCGGAGCCAATAGTCTCACCAGTAGCAACTGCTCGCTTATCCAACATACGAATAGCGGCTCGAATCTCAGTCAGCATGCCTTTGATCTGATTGCCAGTTCCGCCCCGGGAAGCGAAATCGAATCGATCGATACTTCCAAGTATCTTCATGAAGATCACAACTACTTCACACCGCAGTACGATTCTCAGCTGCTACAGTGGTTTAATCGAAGGCCGGAAGATTGGGCGTTCTCCTGGGGAGGAGCTAGTACTATTTTCGGCTGGGGTCATAACCATCGAGGTCAACTTGGGGGATTGGATGGAAGTCGAATCAAGATGCCGACTCCTTGTGAAGCGTTGAGCTTGCTGAGACCAATCCAGATCGCGGGTGGAGAGCAAACTCTGTACGCAGTTACGCCGGATGGAAAGTTGTATGCTACGGGGTACGGAGCTGGTGGACGACTGGGGATTGGAGGAACAGACTCTGTGTCAGCTCCGACTTTGGTGGAGTCGTTGCAACATGTGATTATCAAGAAGGTGGCGGTGAATTCTGGAGGGAAACACTGCCTGGCGCTGTCTTCGGATGGAGAGGTCTTCTCGTGGGGAGAAGGTGAAGACGGTAAACTGGGCCACGGAAACCGGGATAGCTATGACCGTCCGAAGTTGATCGAGGCGCTATCCGGAATTGGGGTTATAGATATTGCGTGTGGAAGTGCTCATTCGGCGTGCATAACGTCCCAGGGGCATGTATTGACCTGGGGCAAGGGTAGATATGGTCGGTTGGGCCATGGAGATTCGGAAGATCAGTTGCAACCGAAACTGGTGGAGGCGCTGTTGGGCTATCGAGCAATTGATATCGCTTGTGGATCGGGAGATGCCCAGACGCTGTGTATCACGGATGATGACAACGTGTGGAGTTGGGGAGATGGAGACTACGGGAAACTGGGTAGAGGTGGATCGGATGGATGCAAGGTCCCGATGAAGATCGAAAGCTTGGCAGGATTGGGAGTAATCAAGGTGGAGTGTGGTTCGCAGTTTTCCGTGGCGTTGACACGATCGGGTAGTGTTTATACATGGGGAAAAGGAGACTACCATCGTTTGGGTCATGGAAATACCGATCACGTGCGTCGACCGAAAAAGGTTGCGGCTCTTCAAGGTAAGAAGATCATCTCGATCGCCACGGGATCACTGCATTGCGTAGCTTGTAGTGATTCAGGAGAAGTTTTCACCTGGGGTGATAATGATGAAGGTCAGCTTGGAGACGGAACGGTAACAGCAATTCAGCGCCCGAGACTTGTACAGTCGTTGCAGGGCAAGCACATCGTAAAGGTTATTTGCGGATCCGCCCATACACTAGCGTTGTCGACATATCAGTTGAGCGAAGCCGTCCGACCGCCGCCATCCCCTCCGTTGGAGTATGATCTCGTGCGGGACATCTCTCCGGAGGTCCTTCATGCTCGACTTGTGCTGTTGCATCATTTCTCCGAACTGATCTGCCCCTGCCTGGCGATGCTTCCGATTAGCGGGGAGCTTTCACTGGGTGCTCTGAAGGATATCCTAGTGTACTCGATCAAGGAAGCTGGCTTCCGAAAGGTCATACAAACGACCATGGTACGTGACAAACCCCACGGACCGATTATCGAACTCAATCGGATACAGGTCAAACGATCGCGGATGCGATCCGGTAATGGGCTGGCAGGAGTCGACGGGATGAAGAGCGTCTTCGGACAGATGGTGCAGAAGCTTCCGCTGCTCACTCAGGAAGCTCTTTCGATGCCTCATCGGGTGTGGAAGGTGAAGTTTGTGGGTGAAAGTGTAGATGATTGTGGAGGCGGATTTAGTGAATCGATCGCGGAAATGTGCGACGAGCTGCAGAATGGAAGCGTACCACTGTTGATCCAGACTCCCAATGGGCGTGGCGAAGCCGGTGCTAATCGGGACTGCTTCCTGCTGGATCCGACGCTGAACTCGGTGCTGCACATGAACATGTTTAGGTTCTTGGGTGTGCTTATGGGAATTGCTGTGCGAACAGGATCACCGTTAAGTTTGAAGTGAGTATTGGTTTTTGAAATCGAGGGATTGCCTTAGATATTGAATATTCTGTCTCAACAGTTTGGCCGAACCGGTTTGGAGACAGCTATGCGGGGAGGAACTTCGTCCATCCGATCTAACCGAAGTTGATCGCGACTACATTACCGGGTTGTTGTACATCCGAGATATAGAGGACGATCCAAAGGTTTTTACTACTATGGAGCTACCCTTCTCGACGCCGTCGGCCAAAGGACATGAGGTTCCTCTGTCTACAAGGTGAGAATTTGTATTTGAACGGTGTGGGATATGGACAAATTATGACCTAATTTCCCGTTTAGATTCACCAAAATAACCCCGGAAAATCGCAACGAGTATGTCAAGCTGGCGCTAAAGTATCGCATCCACGAATTCGACGAACAGGTCAAGGCCGTCAGGGACGGTATGTCCAAGGTAATCGCGGTACCCTTGCTTTCGCTGTTTTCCGCATCTGAACTGCAAGCCATGGTTTGCGGTTCGCCGGACATTCCCCTATGCTTACTGAAGACTGTTGCCACCTACAAGGGTGTGGAATCTACGGCTCCTCTGGTGCAGTGGTTCTGGGAAGTGATGGAGGAATTCTCCAACCAGGAACGGTCGCTGTTTCTACGATTCGTGTGGGGTCGAACGCGTCTACCGCGGACAATTGCCGACTTCCGTGGGCGAGACTTTGTCTTGCAGGTATTGGACAAGTACAATCCGCCGGATCACTTCCTTCCGGAGAGTTACACTTGCTTCTTCCTGCTCAAGATGCCGAGGTACTCGTGTAAGGTAAGTGGCGAGTCAAGTGTTCCCTGTTCAGTGAGGGGCTCTAATGATTAGTACGCTTTGATTCGCAGGCTGTTCTCCAGGAAAAGCTGAAATACGCCATCTACTTCTGCAAGAGCATCGACACAGACGAGTATGCTCGAGTGGCAATGGGTGACCCGACGGAAGCTACCGGTAGCGAAGACAACAGTGAAATTGAATCGGTAAGTTAATCTCTCATTTAAAATGTCCCTTTTAGTTGAAATCCTAACTTTTGGTCTTCGAATGCTCCGTGACGTAGATTGCTTAAATTACGAACAACTGAACTCGTGTGCCTCTGCGAGCTTATACGACTGATTACTTTACACAACAATCCTACAGCAACCAAAAAGTAAAACACACGTAAAACCCGGTCGAAACGTTTTAGGAGCGATTATAAAAGACATTCTCTACAGCACTCTTCGCCATTCAGATCTATTATATACCATTAGTACGAAACAGACAGAAGGCGATGTACCAAAAAAAAACCCCGTGCGGCACGAAGTATATGTATGAAATGCATTTATCAAACCCAAAACCAAACCAAAATCATTGAATATGGCGACTTTACGCAAGAGTAAAACTGCACACAAACACAGATATTGAAATATTTCACCGCGAGTTTTTACACGACCTTATATAATTTGTGTGCTAATAATGTTTCGGTTTTACAGAATTTTCATTTTTACAAAGATACTTTGAATTCAGCCTAAAATTTTAGAAATCTTAGATAACCCTCTCAAGCAGAACTCTGATAAATACATAAGCAACCATTATTGTAACAGATTGCATAGAGATATTTTATTACAGTGTTATATACAGAAGAAACTGAGAAGAAAACCAACAGGATAAATTGTGAAAGATAGGAAGACAGATAACCCCCTTATTTTAAGTCTGAACACGACTGACGGTGAAGCTGGAGCCAAGCTTTCGAGGACTGCTTGTAGCATTTGACATAATTTCATCTTAGAAAAAATTACATTGACGTGTAGGTGGGTTTTACAAATGCGATCGAAATTCGTTACCAGTCAAAATGTACTCGCCGAAACTTTCGAAGAGATTTTGACACAATGACATTCGCCATTTTGAATATAAATATCTCTATCACTATTTTCCCTGCTACGTGCAATATAAAACCAAAGTTTCGACGAAGATAAGGAGAAAATCCAGGGGGTAAGTCACTCTGCCACATTGTGTCTGCTTATTGTGGTTCATGTGTGTTTTTAGGTATAGGAAGGTGTTTCTGAATGTTTCTTGGTATCTTCCGAGCTGTCAAAACTTCAACTGAAAAAATATGCTTGACTATAATAAAACGCTGAAAATGACGGATCCACCAGCGACTCCTTCGCTGGTGTTTGCTTAATGCAACAAAGTACATCTGATTCAATACCGAAGATATTCGAGGAAAATGTGGAAGGGGAACTAAAACAGCTAGTTCAATCCATCAAGATGTGCAAATTTCAGATCTAAAAGGCAACGAAACACTACCGTTAACAACTAAAAGAAGCACGACCACAGAGGCGTGGTGAACTGAACCCGGTAGTGATCTAGAATTCTAATCACCTTACTGTTGCTGTGACACTCCCAACCTACCAAAATGGATTCATCGGAGCATTCCGACAGGTGCTGACAGGTTTGGTGTGGTTCGATACCGTTCTCGAGGCAGAATTGTGCGAACTCGGCACTGGTGAACTGCGTACCGTTGTCGCTGACTAGCGTTTCTGGCATACTAAGGCGAACGAAGAGACTTCGTAGGATTCCGATGGTTGCAGTGGCTGTTATCGACTTGGTTCTGACGATTTCCACCCATTTCGAGTACGAATCGACGCTAAGCAGGAAATACTCTCCCTCGATAGGCCCAGCGTAGTCGATGTGGACGCGCTGCCATGGATACGTTGACTTGGGCCACGACAGCGGCGGTGCTTTGGGCGGACTCTTGGCTGCAACTGCGCAGTGATGGCACGCTTTGACATGCGCAGCGATATCCGAGTCGATAGACGGCCAGTAAACGAAGCTGCGCGCAATCGCTTTCATGCGCTGGATGCCCGGATGACCACTATGGAGGCAACGTATCCGGGAATCGGTCGGAATCACTAAACGTTCGGCAAACATCACGCACCCTTGAACCGTAGATAGTGAATCACTTCGGTTGAAGAATAGCTGGATCTCATGGTCCGAAATGGCCGTTTTTAACTGTGGCCAACCTTGCTGAACGAAGCGGTAAACCTTGCTAAGTACAGGGTCGGAACGGGTGGCGTGCTGTATTGCCCTGAAACTGAGAGGAAGTGCGTTAACTGCATCTAATGCAATGGATCTTACATCGTTCTCCGTGATGATGCTGGCTACGACGAAGTCTTCCTCTGGCTTGACGTGTTGATCGATCAACCGGGACAGGATATCGGCGTTTCCGAATTTCGTCGTGTTTACGTAAACAATGTTGAAGTCGTAGAGCACCAACTGTAAAGCCCAACGTTGTAGCCGGTTCGCCGTGTAGACTGGGATGCCATTTTTCGACCCGAAGATCCGAAGAAGTGGAGCGTGATCAGTTTGTAGTGTGAAGCTCCGACCAAACAGCATCTTGTGGAACTTGGTCACGACCTCAATCGACCCGTCTGGAAACTTGTGGCTAATGGTCGCACCAACTCCAACCGATGACGCATCCGCTGCTACCACTATCTCGCGTTGCGGGTTGTAGTGCGTCAGAAGCAAATCTGAGGTGAGAATCTGCTTGAAGGTGGAGAAGGCCTTGTCGCATTCCACTGACCAGACGAACTTCTTGTCGGTTTTGAGAAGCTCATCCAGCGGATATCGTAACGTACGCATACTCGGGACGATTTTCCCGTAGTAATTGATCGCTCCCAGAAACGATCGAACTCCAGAAACGTCTGTCGGCGCTGACATGTTGGAGATAGATTCAACTTTCGCTGGATCCGGATGCAAACCTTGCCCGTCGATGAGGTGTCCCAGATACTTGATTTGACGCTGGCCAAACGAGCACTTTTCCGCATTGATGGTGAACTCCTGAATTCGACGAAGGACGGCTTGAAGGTTGCGCCAATGGTCTGCTTCGTCGACTCCGCCGACCAGAACATCATCGAGACACCCCGTAGTGCAGTTGAGTCCAGCGAGCATTGTTTCCACAAGCTGCTGAAACGCTCCGGGTGCTGCCTTAACTCCCTGTGGAAGCAGATTGTACCGATAGAGACCTCGATGTGTGTTGATGGTGAGCAACTCTCGACAGCTTTCATCCACCTCCACCTATAAGAACGCATCTGAAAGGTCGATTTGACTGAAGACCTTGCAGTTCGCCAGCCTAGCGAAGATGTCCTGCGGTAGAGGAAGTAGGTACTGATGCGGCTGCAGAGCATCGTTTAGGCCCGTGGAGTAGTCACCGCAGATACGGATTGCACCACTTGCTTTACGAACAACAACGATTGGAGCTGCCCACTCCGAGAAATCGACCGGTGTGATGATGTTGGCACGTTCCAGCCGGTCCAACTCCGCATCGACGGTACTGCACATGGCGTAAGCCACTGGTCTCTTCGGTCGAAACACTGGGGATTTACATTCCCTCAACGTGAACTTCACCTTGGCCTTCGAGCACAACCCTGGTTCATCATTGAACACCGCTGGAAAAGCTGCTTGGAGGGAGCTGATCGATGTTGGATAGCTGCTGATTTGATTGCAGAACTGATCCATAGGCACCGACCGCACGTGTCGATTAGGTCCAGTCCAAGCAAATTGAGCTGCTGCTTGACCACGAAAAATCGACCTTGATGCTTCTCCCCTTTGATTGCAACTTCACATGAACACTGAAACTCCAGCTTCAAGGGTTTGCCCGATGCAGTAGAGGCTTGAATTGTTGCAGGACTTGCTGTGGGTTTTCCAATATGCCGCCATGGTTGCTCGGAAATGACGCTGATATCCGACGCAGTGTCGAGTTGAAGACTGATCTCCTACCCTTCCGAACGTTCTTCACCTGCACACTTCTGGTTACCATCGGCTTGGACGAGTACCGCTTGCCTGCAGATTTCACCTTTTTTGCGCTTGAGCAATACCCGTCTTTGTGGCCCACCTGACCACATTCCTTACACCGATTTTTGAGGAAGGGGCAGTCCTTGGAATAGTGCATGGCGCCACAGTTCCAACAAGGCGTTGCTGGAACGGCACCTAGCTGATTCGGGGATCTTGAACCTGGTGATCCTCGTCCTGAGCGGGAATGCTTCCCACCGAACTGCTTCCGCTTCAATGCTTGCACTGCTGTCGACGAAGACGCTGCCTTTATCATCGCCATGTCGTGCCTGAGGTTCAGAAGCCGTTGACATTCGTCCGAAATCTGCTCCAGCGTGATGTCATTCCGCTCCTCGATTCTGCTCAGCAACCTGGTTCTGACCTCCGCATCGCTTTCCGCTTTCTGCCCGCATACGAACACGAGGCATTTGAACTGGTCCTCCGAAAGCTTCCCAAGTTCGAATTCGACACACAGTTTGTTCACCCGGCAGGCGAACGTTTTGTAGTCCTCAGTGACTTGCAAGCACCGGTACCGTCTGCTAATCACAGACTCTGGCATACCAAACAAACTTTTCAGTTTACTCACCGTGTCGTCGAACTTCACCTCGTTGGGGCTTTTCGGTAGGATGTAACTGGTGTACCTCTCGTGCTCTGAAGGACCCAACTTCCGTAGCAGCTATCTCACCTTGGCTTCATCGTCGAGGCGAACGGCGTCTTTGGCGAATAAATCCTGATAACGCACGTACCATGCGAAAAACGTGACGTGTTGATCCGGTTCGTACCGAAATTCGCGGATGTTACTCGCCAGCTAATCGAGAATTTGCTCAGGGTTCGTCGGCACTTGAATGTTGATAGCCGACATCGCCGCCCGAAACATCTGCTCCTGCTGTTTCAAAAACGCCTGTTGCTGCTGCATCTGCATTTGCATCTGTTGCTGCATCTGCTGTTGCATTTGTTGTTGCATTTGCTGTTGCAGCTGCTGCTGCATTTGCTGAAAAAAATGCAACATCGCTGAATCTATCGATGGAATGTTTTGTTGTTGTTGTTGCTGCTGGTGGAGGTGAGGTGCTGCTGCTGGTGGATCCTACTGCAGTCCATTTCCCGGCACTGATTGTTGCTGGGGTTCACTCCAAGGTGAAAACATACTGTTGTCCGCAATTCTTCTTCTCTTCCGTGACCGAAACACTTTCGCTTCGCTCACTCGCGTGAAATGTTCTGGCACACAAACACAAATACACTAGATCTGTTAACGTGAATATACGGTCAATTTCACCAACATTTTTAGTAGACATGGCGTGTAATTCAGGTCAAAGTTACTACCGTCACGTAACATTTGAGATTTTCTAAATACAGATCAGTTACGTGATATTTCACGTAAATCGGTCGTGAAGATTTTTTAGAGTGTGGAGGTCGATCAGCCACACACTACGAAGGTGCGGGAACGCAACAAACAAGCAAGCGCTGGAACTGGATTTGAACCGGCACGATATCGCAGCAGAGGCATACCTAGGAGCTCATGGCAGCGAGCTTCAACAAGAAAATATTTTTTCGCATAATACGTTCACGGGACGATTTTCTAGCCGCAGTCCAGTTGGGGAATCTAACCTTGTTTGAAAAATTACCTAACATAAAAATCATAAAATTATTTAAAACCCTTCCGACGACTATATTACAGAATCTGTTCATGCGGTGAAGCATTAAAAAAACTGTATACTTCTTATGCAAATCAGTAATAGAATCTTGCATTTCCCGGATGGGTGTACGAGCTGTAAACGCCTTTAGAACAGAACCTATATTCCCCCTTCAAAGTCCAACGCAAGCTTTTGATCCAAGTAGCCCTTTCGATCGCATTCAAAAAACCCAAACTATCTACACGGCGAATGAGACCGAATGAGCGATAAGTAAATTTGCCTCATGTTTTTCCACGTTTGACCAGGGAAAAAAATCCCGGACATGAGAAAAGTAAAGATTGGATTCACTCAGTCTATTGGTCCTACTCCTAGAGTGAGTAAAATTTTCGTCAATTTTCCTCAGTTTTCCGGCAGATCTCTGAGATTTTCCACAGGAAAACATGAGGCAAATTTACTCATCACTGAGTTCCTGCACTTTTAGCGATTATGAGCGAACTAAATTCAAATTTGGGTCGTTCTCATTCGCCGTGTAGTCGCCGTAGTAGCTTCATTTTCCACCTCCTAGGAAATTAGAAATACCGAAAATAAACACCTAAAAACTGAAAACAAAACAAGGCCAATTCCTCTCAATCAACCTTCCTTCGTTTGTATTGTGTTTAAATACTTTTTTTCCAAGTAGAAAAAAAAAAGTTGAAACCTAGAAATAACGGCAGCAAATAATCCAATGAGAACCTAGAAAGGGAAACACTAACCCTATAGATCGTTGAAATAAAAAAAAACACGCGACATCGCAACAAATATGGCAATTAATCTCCCCATAAAGCATACAAAAATCAAACATCCCTACTCAACCTTAGCTGATATCAAGTTGAACATTAAAATTTAATATGAACAAAACAATGTAGGCTGTACTGATTCACAAATTAAATGATGGAAATGATACGATTTAACTTATCAAAATTAAATCTAAAGTTAGGATTGCTTGTCACCAGAAACACGTGTGCGAAAGTCAAGCAAAACAAAAAAAAAACAGCAACCTAGAAAACTAGAAATTAGCCAGCGAGTTGAGCACACTCGAACTGGAACCTAACTGCCGAGTAGCGATCATCCAAGAAGTCGAGGAGGCGATCATTGCGTTTCCATGTAGATCATAACACAGTAGCCCGTTAGAAGAGTACATTCTGTAGAATCATGCAGCTCCGACATCCGACGACAAAATAATGTTTCCTTGATGAAAAAAAGCAGAGCTAGCATACGAAAGAAGTACGGGGAGATACAAATAAGTGAGTTATTTATTTAGACCAACTAATTTATTAAACCACCTCACGGCGAGCCATTTTTCTACTCACTCGACACTGAACACACGCGCCACTAAATGCTACTACTGCATATCATTCTCGCTTCGTTTTGAAGATAGTATCATCGCAAAGCTAGTACCATAACCGTTGTAGCAGCTTTATTAGTCAACTATTTGAGAGAATCCGTCTCTGCGGCGTCGCGGCGCACCAGTATTGTTCCTTTTTTTTATGCCGACTGTGCAAGGGTGCAACAGCAACTACAACCTAAACCAACCAATATCTCCCTATTAGCAGATATTTAGAGTGTAAACAGGGCAGACTAGTTGTTAATATTTGAAAAGGTTGATAATACCCAATGTTGGGAGAATTAGTGCGAGAAAAATCCAATTGAAATCGATGAAAGGCAATGCAAAATTTGCGATTCTGCCTAAAGAACTGGAGAATAGAGCTAGAATCCGATAAGGAGGTTTTTTTTTTTCCTAGGAAGAAAAAAAAATACGATATAGTCTGTTTTTTCTTTATTGTACATTCGTCTGGTGAATAACTTATAGTTTGCATATGCGTGACAAGCCTCTGTGTATTATATGTTTTATACTCTGTGATTCTTTTTTATGTTTTTTTTTATTACTTGTAAAATGAACACGAAACAAATGCTGAATTAAACAATCATATATATGTGACTTCAGAGAAAATGTACCCACGGTTGAGATTATCTTTATCCGAACGTTCCTTATATTGCAATCATAATTGAGGGTAGGTACCATTGCCCATAATCGCATAACTGTCCCATATGGGTAGAAAACAAGCAAAGGTATATATTACTATTATTATTATATTCTTGATTTATCTATTGTCTTAATCAATATCTAAATATATTAAAACAAGTCTTCTGACATTCTTCTAACAAACAAATTTAACAGAAAATTAAAATCAAATAGAGTATAAGTTTCATTGCACGCATTGGCCATGACACGGACAACCCAACTAACATTTTCAGCTTTGCAAGCCAACTTTTCCAGCGTTGCGCTGTAAAGTAGCTGAAAAGAAGCTGCAGATACAGCTACAAGCAAAAGCTAGCAAAATAGTTTTCGAGAGCGTTTACTCAACTTTCTCACAACCATTATTCAATTTGTCAGTCGCACTGAATAACATCAGCCAATAAACGCTAATGTCACTTCTATACACACACTAATCAACTTTCTACTTGTAGCTGCAAAACAAAGCTAACAAAGTGAATATATTACTCATTTGATGGCTTCTACACAACCAACCACTCTTGCTGAATAACATAAACATCAAAAGTGCTTTTTCAACAACTAAACAACCTGTACTCAGCTTATAAACTGTGTTTGAGCAACTTCACAGTTAACTAGGTTTATTTTTAGACGTGTGTAGTTTTATAGCTTTTACTCTGCTCTTTTATAACTAGTCGAGAAAAGTGATTCATGTGCACTATTTTAAAGCCTATACTCAGCGATTTTGTTGTAGAAGGGAATGTTGATTTGTTTACATAAGTTCAAAGTGTTGGCGTAGCACAGTTGGTAGTGTCAAGGTTTGCCAATGAGGTCGTCTCGAGCAGAGTTGAAAATTATCTGGGGAGAATCACCCGGGTGCAAGAGATATCATTCTCTGGGGTGAATCTCTGCTTGTCTCCTCGGAGATTTCTCCTGGCACCACTGGAGAGATTTTTAGACACAGCACGAGAGAGTGAGAATATTGACAGTTCACTTTTGACGTAGGACTACGTCTTTGATTTCTATATGGGGGTACACTCTGTGAAAACCGAAAATGGAACATGTAACAAATTAAGAAAGATTTTGAACATTAATAACTCAGCTGCCCCTGGTCCAATTTCAATAATTTTATCACCAATCGATCAGAAATATGGCTACGCATCGATAACAATGCTTCCAAATGTTGATCTTCAACAAGAAACTATTGAAAAACTGGTGAATGTCCAGCATTGTCCAAAAGCGTCGAATTAACTAACAAATCCACCAATTACCTACATGCATATGTTGCTTCCCCAGCACAGTCGTCAGAGAATAGTAAGTAGACGAAACAAGTCAAAGTGGCATTCGCCTCCGATCCTCGGGCGCGTGCGAATAGAGAGGATGGAATTGCGTAATATTTTGCACACTCATCACCATACTCAGAACCACACGCTCCCAACGACCACACCACTGTGTGGTGGTGTTCGATCGTCGAAATTAGTAGCAGCAGTAGCAGTGCTGCTACTTCTTTCGTTTAATCAATCACCCTTGTAGTGACGTCGGAAAGATTGTTTCAATCGGCGCTTACATATGAAATTTAATGTGGATTATAGAATTTTTTGTATGTTACCAAAATTTATGAATGGTTTGCCACTAAATGTTGAGATAATTTATTGATTATTGAATTATCACACTGTATATCATGAAAAAGCAGCCTGTTTGTGTGTTTTTGCCTGTTTTCAAGTAAGGAGTTATCATAAAAAACAAATCGCCAGCGGCTCTTTCCCGGCGACTTTACAAATAAATAAAATCAAACAAAATCATCATGCAGAACTAGCTAGGATTTGTTTTACTTCATATTTCACAAAATTGCTTTCGAGTGTTAAGACATCGTCTCCCGCAAATTTTACATTTTCCCTCTACCAACGCATCAAATACATCAGGGCTAGATAGATCTCCACAGGATCTATAGAATCCACGCAATTTCAAAAAACCAAAATGCGCAGCATTACGAAAAGAGGTCAGGTTTCGACCAATAGCAGATAGATGTTAATACTAAACAAGCCAAACGATTGGAAATTTATCTACCAATCTGCTAAACTGAACACTTAGTTAATTTTCAATAGGCCACTATTGAAAAATACCAAATGTCCGACTGTTGCAATGGTGATCAAAATTATCACCGAATGTCTGAAAACAGCGCATTCCCTAACACAGACTTAAAAATCGAATTTGATGCGGTCCTACTGAACGGTGCTCATTCAATCACCGTAAGTGGTGGTGTCCAGTCCAGCAGCAGCAGTAGTAGCAGCAGCAGCAGGAGTGCTTTCAACAACAACAACAACAACGAAAGGTTGCCTGCAAGCAGCGAGCTGCAGAGCTCATATGAGCAACCATAGAGAAGGAGGAAGAAGTCCCACCGCTAGGCTAGGATCGGAATTAGTAGCTCTTCGTGAGTCGCTGTGGGCCATCTATGCCAAGCGCGTCATCCTTATTCCAAACAACGTACACCTCACCAGCCTCATATATGTTTAACACCCTAATAGCTCAGCATTACTCAACCATCACTACAAAATGATCCTTTTCAGGACCACCATAAATTTGTTAAGAGTATTATTTGGACATTTGTCAAGGTCATCAGTTCCCGCAAGCAGCTAGCTATCAAGGCTCAACCTGGTCTCTATAGAAGGTGTGGAATTGTAGGCCCGAATGTATTGTTGAGAATAATCAACGTCCGACCATTTTCCAGAACACGCTGGTAGGAAGTGTTGAAAATCCATATAGAATTTGAGAGAAGTGGGAATAATTCGCTTTGGGTGTATATTCAGTCCCCAGAAAGCCAATAAAATCAAATTTGTGAGAAAATTAGCTCTCACGAGTTCAATCTCTCGAAGTCCCTCCTTTTTTACATATTCTGCACAAACGATACTTTCCGCCCCGCCCCATTCATATAAGGGCCTGTTCATAAACTACGTAGACAGTTTTTTTTGGGATTCTTGACCCCCCCTCCCCCTGCGTAGACAATTGTCCATACAAAAATTTTAAAATTTGTATGGGCCGTGGATAATTGTCAACCCCCCCCCCCCCCTAAACTGTCTACGTAGTTTATGGACAGCCCCTAATTCGGAAGAAAATCCTGTGAGGGGTGAATTGAATACACTTTAATACAAAAATGCACAAAACTTAAAAATTCATAAATAACAAAAAAATCAAAAAACACCTTTTAAAGTCGGGTAGATGAATCGAAAATACTCAAGTTGACAGTCTCTTGGATTCTCTTCATCGACTTTCTCTTTGAAATAAATACTACAAATTTGATACGCTTGCAAATATAAAACGGAAGGAGTTAAGATAATTGATGATTGATCAATTAAAAGAACTAAATGTTCACATTTGTTCCATCCACTAGCGGTCCTACGTTAAGCGTCCGTTCGTGCCCCTAGGCACAGACCCTTCTACTTTTTGTCTGTTTATACACTCACTTCCGTGAGAAAGATAGCAGCGCAAATGCGTTATTGTTTCTCCAAAGATTCCGGCAGAGCTTGACGTGAGTGAGTGAAAACATCAATAAAATGGCTGAAAAACGTATACAACGACAAGGGCGTAGCCAGGTTTTGAGCTAGGGAGGGCGAAAAAAAATTAACTATGGAAAATTTTGCCGAATGCCATTTCACCGGACGCCATTTCACCGAAAGCCTTTGGGTTGCTGAGTTTAGTGCGGTTTGAGGACAATACCGAAAAGGTGGTTGTGAATGTTGTGCTTTTCAGGGCAAATGGAAAAAGAAACATTAAAAGTGGTCACGGTATTCAACTTGAAGCGGCATCTCGTCAATATTCATCGGGTGTTCTGGTGTGGCTAGCTCGCTGCTCCTCTCTCCATTTTCGCTGCACTTGCTGACGGCATTCCAAGTGCCTTCCTCTCGACACATTTCAACGACGACATTCTCCACGTTAAGGACGGGCATCTCCCTTCACAAAACTGTCTCGAACCTTGGACAGTCGAAGATCACATGCTCCGGCGTTTCATCCACGTTCCAACACTTCTAACAGAGGGGTGACACTGCGTGTCCGAATCGACGCAGATACTTCCTGAAGCAGCCGCGGCCAGACAAGAACTGCGTTAGGTGGAATTTAACGTCTCCGTGATTTCTGTTCACCCAGGTCGAAAAAAAATCTGTATTAGTCTACGTGGCTAGGTTAGGTTATCTTTAATAGCGAGACTTTCAGCCAGAGGTTGTTTCATCTCTTTATTAGTCTACGTGTCCATCTACCGTTCTCTGCCGTGTTCCACTCCTGTTGCCACTTAGCCAACGACTCCGCTCTCACAACTTTCCGTACTCTTCCGGCTTCCCTCCGCCTGTAGCACTCGCTGTCTTCCACTTTGAGGTTATGGCATGCCCCCGACGGTGATTCCCGCTGTACCGCTTTACAGTTACTGTCCAATAGAACTTCCGTTTTATGATGGACCATCTGCAGCTTCGCTCCTTACATCCAGTTACCAATCATGTTGATCACCTCGGTCGCCAGCACTTCCACCTCTTCCAGCGTCTCGCCTGTTACCGTCAAGACGATGTCGTCCGCAAGCCAACGATCTCAACTCCTTTGGGCAGCTTCAGCGTTAGCACGCCGTTGTACATCCCGGTCCAGAGCGTTGGACCAAGGATGGAGCCTTGTGGAACTCCCGCTGTGATCCTAATCGATCTCTGTCCCATGTCTGTCTGTAGACTAAACTGAAGCAAATTTCAATAATGGTGCGCTGATGCACTTCCCGTATTCGCATTTCCAAAATGTGTACACCAAATTTTAAAATAATTGACTACTGTACGTTAAAAGAAAAAGTAACCATTAAAAAATCATTGTATGCAACAAACCTAAGACGAAGAGAAGACAATACGGGGGGCGAAAACGAATCACTTTTCTGTCAAGCGCGAACCAGCTCGTGATGGTGATGATGATTGGAAATGCGTAAGATAGAGATAGAGA